AAAAAATCCCTTTCATACTTAGAACATAAATATATTCTTTATTTCTTCTAAAGCTTTAAAGGTGTGCTTTCATAATTAGGTCTTTAACTGGCAGTTATTTTTAGTTATGGTATGAGATAGAAATATGATTTTATTTTATTTTTTCATATCTATAACTAATTCTCTCCTTTCCATTCCCCTCTCCCACTGATTTGTAATGCCTCTCCTGTCATATATCAAATTTTCATATACACATGGGTGTTTCTGGAAGCTCTATTCCTTTCCATTGCTGACTTAATCTATCTCTGTTCTAAGAGTGCATCTGGAGGGTGAATACTCTTACCATCTTAGTCTTCTTCAGAACTGTCTCAGATATTCCTGGCATTTTGCTGTTCAATATGAATTTTAAAATCAAGTTGTTGTTGTGTTTTTTTTTAACCCTCTTGGTATTCTGATTAAAACTGCACTAAATTTATACATTAATTTGGGAAGAGCTGATTTCTTTTCAATACCGAGTTTTCTCCTCCAGAGAAGATTTGCATTTGTTTATGCAGGTACCTGGCAGCACTACCAACCTGGATCCAATTTAAAATTGCTGGCTGGAGGGGTTTGGACCATATGGTGGTGTGAATTTGGGCCCCACACATGCTTGAAGGCTGGCTAGTAGTTAGAAATTCACAGGGAGATTTTCTGACACTCCTCTATCCAATGCCACAGTCTAGATGAACAGGTGGTTTATTTCTAGATCGCCTTTATGCTGAAAGCGTAGCCTTTGAAGTCCCAGCCTTATGCAGAGTTTTCTCCTAGACTCTTCACCTTGAACTGTCTGTGGAATTTACTCTCCTATCCTCTGTGCTCCTCATACCTGTCAAAGCTTAAGGTTGCCAGCATTTGGCAGATGCCTCCATGGTAAAAGTCAGCTGAATACCTATTTACTTCTTTGCATTCCTGCTTCTACTTCATTTCTGGCCCTAGGATTCCTTTCTTTCTTATCAGCTCAACTATACACTAAAAATATATATATTTAAAATTTTATCTAGCATTTTGATTTTCAGTAGAAAAGTTGTTCAGGATATTTTAAAATCTTCTATAGCCTAATTTTTATCTGCTTGATTTACTAGTTTTCGATGGAACTATATTAAAATCTCTTACTATGATTTTAGACTTGTAATTTCTTATCGTTCTGTTTTTGCTTTGTATATTTCAAGTCGCATACAAGTTCATGATGATTACTATCTTCTTGCTGGATTTTCCCTTTTATTAACATGTACCATTGCACTTTATCCTTATTAAAGCCTTTGGTCTTCCGTCTGTCCAATAATGATAACCTACATCAGTTTTCTTTTCCCATTTCTGGGCAGTTTTATTTTTTGTATCTCTATAAAGAGTATATAGATGATTTTGTTTTTTATTTAAATTGCTGTATCTGTGTCTTTTAATAAAGATGATCAATCCATTTGTGAACTACTCATATATTTGGAACTATTTCTATTTCTTGTTTTCTATTTATCATCTCCTTCCTTTGCTTTTTTATTTTTTACTTTTTTAAGCTTTCTTATCTTTTACTGAACTAATCAAGTTTTCAATATTCTCGCCCCCCACCTTCTGCTAGTTTGGAAGGCATAACATATATTTCTATTATTTTAGTTACTTTTAGTTTTTTTTTTTCATTGTATATATTTAATTATACATTTTTCTGAAGGAGTCTGAAATTACTTAATATTTCTATCCTCCTTCTGAACATGATGTGGACCTTAACACGTGATACTGAACAACACTCCCCCATACATCCTACCTATTTGTTGTCACTATCTAGAGCTACACTGTCCAGTTTGGTAGCCATTAACCACATGTGGCTTTTGAGTCCTTCATATGTGGCCAGTCAGAATTGAGATGTGCTCTAAGTGTAAAATATACACTGGATTTTGAAGATATAGCAAGAAAAAATGAAAGTAAAATATCTCAATAATTTTTATACTGATTATATATTGAAATGATATTTCAGACATACTTGGTTAAATAAAATATATTATTAAAAATTAATTTCATGTGTTTATTTTTTAATGTGACGACTAGAAAATTCAAAATTCATATGTGGCTAGAATTATAATTCTATTGGATAGTGCTAATCTAGAGTTTTAGTTTTAACTTTTGTTTTAAATGTGCCCCCCCAAAAAACCCTAAATTATTCTTTCTGTTATTAATAATTAATAATATTTATCATTTCACCTAATTAAAATTCCTCATTCGGGAATAAGAGGGTACCTGGACCTGATATGGTACTAAATATATTTTGCCTTAGTAAGTAAGATATTACTCCATTTTCTGCTAGCATCAACTGTTGCTGGTGAGAAACCTTCTGTTAGTTTAATTATGGTAGCTCTGAGGGAATCTGCCTTCCAACTTTGGTGGCTTTTAAGATTTTCTCTTTATCTCTGATAGTCTAGAGTTTCACCCCAACCTATCTAAATGTGGATTTATCTTTATTTAACCTACTTGACATTCTAGAGTTTACTTTTGATTCAAGGATTCGGGTTCTTCTTCAATGCTAAAAATTCTCAGGCTTTATATCTTCAAACATTAGTTCTCCACTAACCTCCGCATCTTCTTTTTCTCTAATTCTTTTTTTTTTTTAAGATTTTATCTTTTCTTTTTCTCCCCAAAGCCCCCCTGTATATAGTTGTGTTTTTTTAGTTGTGGGTCCTTCTAGTTGTGGCTTGTGGGATGCCACCTCAGCATGGTCTGACGAGCAGTGCCATGTCCACACCCAGGATTCAAACCAGCGAAACACTGGGCCGCTGAAGCAGAGCACTCGAATTTAACCACTTGGCCATGGGGCCGGCCCCTGTAATTCTTATTATATATACATTGGAGTCTCTCAATTAATCCTGTATGTCTTTTAATTACCAATCCATATTTTTATCTTTGTTCTGTGTTCTGGGTGAAGTTTTTAGTACTATTTTCCAAACCATTAATTCATCAATGGTGTAAAGGGTAAAATTTATCCCATCTATTGAGTTTTTTATATACCAACTACATTTTTAATTTCCAAGAGTTCTACTGATTCTTTTCCACATTAACCTGTTTTGTTTCATAATTTTGAGCTCTCTTTAAACAGAAAGTATCCCTTAACTTATTTCTTTGAACATCCTAAAAATGCTTTAAAGTTTCTTCCAATCAATGGAATACTATGCAGCCGTTAAAAGGAATAAGATCATCCCATGGGCACTAAACTGGAATGATCTCTAAGTATGTTTTTAAGTGAAAAAGCCAAGGTATATAATAGTATGTGTAGAAGGCTACCATTTATATAAAAGTGTATGTATGTGTATATGCTTGTACATGCATAAACTATCTCAGAAAGGACAGCAAGAAATTGGTAATAGTGGTTGCCTCTGGGGAGGGGAACTGGGTGGTTAGGGGACAGAGGTGGGAGACAGACTTACTTTTCACTCTTTACCCTTTTGTACCTTTGAATTTTGTACCACGTGCATGTATTACCTAGTCAAAAAAAAATAAATAAAATAATTTATTTTTTAAAATAAAGTCTTTGTTGGACTACTCCATAAAATTAATTTCATCCAGAGAAAATGCCTGTTCTAGTTGCTGGTTCTGTTATGCTATTAATATTAGATGTCTTCACAAGTTTTGGAATTTTGGTTATAGGCTCATTTTGAGTAGGAAAGGCTTTTTCTCTCTCTCTCTTCCTATTTAATGGCTTTATAGTAGCCCCCAATTGGATTTCTGGACCCCTAATCCACAACTAGGCCTTATAATGACATTAAGGGCTCCAGTTTCATGATGATACTGGAGCAATCATGTATACACATTCAATTACTGAGTCAGCAATGGCTTCATTCAATTCCCAGTCATGAGGCTGTGTCTTTATCAGCTAAAACCTATAGCCCCAGGTAATGAATAGTTTTTTCCTTTTTTCAGCCTTTCAGAAACGGGACAGACATGCCAACCAAACCACTGGCTTCATGTGATAATTCTGCCTCTGGTTCCTGCCTCACATGAAGTACTTGAGTATTTTTGATTCCTGACAGGAGCTAACTACTACATGTCAATGCCAGACTGAAAACCCAGTGGGCTTGTGCTTTCTGTCAACCGTGCTAACAGCTTTGTGTCTTTGTTCCATTTCTGGCCCACAAAAATGTTTATGTTGTTTCAGAGCCTGGCTATGTCTTTTGTGCTATTTAATCTACTGTTGTGTTTGGAGATAGGCGTTACATCAAAAGTCAGTATGCCACCTTGACTAGAAGTAACTTCTACATTTTTTTCTTTCTGAACATTAAAAGTAATCATTATAAAAGTAATATAATCTCATTACATAAAATTTAGAAAAGAGAAAATTACTCAGAATCCATGCATTCTAACTCATCCACTGCTAGCATTTTAAAATATTTCCTTCTAATCTTGTTCTTCCACATCGTCATATTTGTGCAATTTTTATCATGATTTTAAGCAATATTATCCCAAGCATTTGTCCATGTTGATATGTAGTCTCTGTGACCATCATTTTAATGACTGCATATTAATCCACCAAGCTGTTCAAGTGTTACTTACTTCCCACATTATTGAGAATTTAAGGAGCTTCCAACTGTGCTATAAAGAAGTTCTCTGTGCATATGTGTTTTTTCCACTCAATAGTTTGGATCTGGGGGCGGAGGGGGGTGGCGAGAGGCTAAGCAATGAGACTGCCATAATTCTACACAGGTTATTAGCCCAAAGGCTAATCATAACACATAGCTGAGGTTCATAATGATAACCCTGATACATGAAAAGAAAAGGTAAAATCACATGGAAATGAAAAACGCATTTCAGAGAGATTCCAATCCAAAATGATTAACAGTAAGTTTTGTAATTAAAGGGTAAGTTTCACAACAGCTAAGATTCACAATTCACAAATGTGTATCATCTGGCACTGCTGGACAAGGCATTACAAATTTTCACTAACTTCCAAAACAGAATATTTTGGGTCACACTAATAAAGTTCACTTTTTCACTGTAATACTAACCTGATATTATTTACACAGTCTTCATGAGCTTCAGAAAGAGTTTTTATGTGCTTTGAAGATATAGGGTCAAAAAGCAGAACTTCAGTCTGTTCACAAGCAACTGTCAGCACTGACCTGAAAGCAAATGACATATTTCTCTTTAGTTTTCTAGCATTCTCTGGTTATTGGTTTATAATTACACAAGCTGTAAATGAATAACTTCCTTTTGCCCATGTTGGTAGCAAATATTTAAAAGATTGACACTATCTGCTGTTGGCAACAGTAGGAAATGGTCCTCTCATACATTATGGTGGAGTGTAAACTAATGCAGCTTATGTTTGGAGAGTACCAGTATCGATCAAAATGTTAAATGTGCATACCTTTTGACTCAGCAATTTTTTTCTGGGAATTTAATCTAGAGAAATAATCATTTATAAATACAGAGAAGCATATATAAAGATATGCTTCATTATAAGGAGAAGTTGAAAGTAACCTAAATGTACGAGATAGAAGGAATTAAGATTTATTATTTTAACTCATGGTATGGAATACTTTGCAATATTGTGCAACATTTATAAAGAAAGGGATAGCTTTATATGGATATGAAAGAACTCCGAAACATACTTTTAAATGAGAAAAGCTGGTTGTAGAAAAACATGCACAGATGAGGCAACTCAGGGAAAAAAATTATATATAACAAAATTATGTATTTCTCTATCATTATCCATTAAAACGCACTGAAAAAGGTGTGGCATATATCGTATCAAACCAGTTAAATATAGTCAAACAATCTTTTCCTTTATGGTTTTTTAGTAATATCTCTTGCTTCAGCCCTTCCCTATTACAAAGTTACATTTTTATAAACCTTTTACAAGCCCCATTTTGATTTCTGAAAATTTATTATCTTTTACTTACTTTGATTAAGTCTTACGAATTTTCTTATGGACCCTGCTCTTTCAGATTCAGATCTAGCAAATGAAATCCTGAGTCTTTGAAACTGCAGGTCTTCCCAATTTATAGTTCCAATAACAAATGGAATTTTGTACCCTTAAGATGAAAGGGTTTAAGCAGAATTTTAAATAGCCAAACTTTTCTATTCAGAACAATAAAGTGGGAGGGGGGGGAATCTACTAAATCAAAATCTTTTCCATATTTAGTAATCACGAAACAGTCCTTTAAAGGCTGCCTGCATAAACCCTTTTTTGAGATATCTGGACTTCAAAATATAACATATGAAGGGTTTTTATGCTAGTTGATCATGAGTAAAAATATTCAAATGAATATCTGTAATTCTAGAAGATGTATAAACAGACTTTTTTTTGTTAGTCAAATGAGTTATGGAATGAACTTTTCTCTTTTCTGTGCATAAAAGTAAATGAATCAGTGATTCTGGGGCAGCCTTGATCTTAAACACTGTAAATAAGAGATCTACAAAACTGATAGTCATTGTTTTGTGTTAATCCAATTACAATCTATTTTTGTACATGGCATGATTTGTACTTTTGAAAAATGGATATCATTCATTTGTCCTAATATCAAAGCCTACCCTTTTCTCATTAGTTTGAAAGCCATCTTTATGATATCTAAGTTTTGTTTTGGGACTATATTCTATTCTGTGCAACACCACTATGCTATTTTAATTTCTAAAAGGTTTCTAGTATATTTGATGTGTGGCAAAGCAAGATGTCCTCATTGTTTTATAAACATTTTGGGGGTGGCTAATATCATGCTTTCTTCTCCAAAGGAATTTTAGATATGATATGTCGGGTCCTACTAAAAAATCTTGTTGGGGGGCCAGCCCCGTGGCCAAGTGGTTAAGTTTGCCTGCTCTGCTTCAGCGACCCAGGTTGGGATCCTGGGTGCGGACATGGCACCGCTCATCAGGCCATGCTGAGGCGGCATCCCACATGCCACAACTAGAAGGACCCACAACTAAAAATACACCACTATGTACCGGGGGGCTTTGGGGAGAAAAAGGAAAAATAGAATCTGAAAAAAGAAAAAGCTTGTTGGTATTTTTATTGGGATGCACTGACGTTACAAATTAATTGGTAGAATTTATACAATATTGAATCATCCCATTAGTAATATGCATACTTTCCCACATTTTCAAGATTTTCTTTTTTATTTCTTTTGCTGATGAAGATTAGCCCTGAGCTAATATCTGTGCCAATCTTCCTCTATTTTATATGAGGGTCACCACCACAGCATGGCTGATGAGTGGTGTAGGTCCATGCCCAGGATCCGAACCCATGAACCCAGGCCACCAAAGTGGAGCACATCAAACTTAACCATTAGGCCACAGGGCTGGCATCCCCTCAAGATTTTCTTAGCAAGAGTACTTTAGCAATTCTTGGAACTTCAAACGTCCTTATATATTTAGAATCAACTTATCAAGTTATGTATACACACACACACACAAATCCAGCTGTGAATTTTAATTGACATTGTAATTTATCTATAGAAAAGTTTGCATAGAAGTGACATCCTTACAATATGGAGTCTTCCAATCCATGAACGTGGTATATCTTTGTTTACCATGGAGATTTTCTCCATATGAGTCATGCCTATCTTTTGTTAGATTTATTCCTGAGTAACTTGATATTTTTTGATGCTTTTTAAAATTTTGCTTTGTTTGTTGCTGCTGTACAGAAATGCAACTGATTTTTAAAATATTTATCCATCAATCTTGCTATTTTAATGCTTTATCTGTAGGTTATTTTAGGCTTTCTTTGTGAATATGTCATCTACAAACAACTGCTTTGTTCTTTTTTTGACACTTTTTCTCCTTGCTGCACTGGCTGGGACATTCAGTACACTGTTGAACAGAAATGTTAATATAGCAGAATTCCTGTCTTGTTCCTGATCTTCAAGAATACATTCACCATTTCATCATTAAGTGCAATGCTGCTATAGGGTTTGTTTCGTTGGTTGGTTGGTTTGGTTTGGTAGATTCCTATTATTGGATTAAAGAAGTTCTCTTCTACTTCAAATTTGCTAGGTTGTTTTCATTAATATATGTTAAATGGCATAAAACATTTTCCAACATTTATTGAAATTATCCTGTTTTTCCTTTAATATGTTAATGTAGTAATTTACATTAATTTACTTTCTAATGTAAAATCAACCTTTCATTGCTACCATATTGCTAGATTCAGTTGGCTACAATGGTGGGCTCACACCTCTGACTTCCCTCCTTTTGCAATTCTCGGCCCTGCAATTTCCTCATTGCCTTACTTCTCCAATCTCTTCAAACATAAGCTTTTTATATCTTACATTAAATATTTTATATTTTCTCTAGCTTTCCTAATTATTCTCATTTGGTGGGTTGGTCCAAACCACCTACTCTGCTACTTCTAGAAAGCTATAATCTCTACCCATTGCATCTGAAGTTACATCCCCCTTCTCATTCTGAATATTGTTTATTTGGGTATTCTCTTCATCAATACAATAAGTGTTTTTCATTTTTATTTGTCTTTTCGAAGATAAATTTTTCCATTGAGTATTCCTATTGAATTTTTTAAATATCACAAACTCTACTCTTACTGTATTTCCTTCCTTCTGCTTTCTTCAAATTTACTTTGCTATTATTGCAGATAACTTCATTATTCTTTTTCTCTTTCTTGAGATGGGTATGTAGCTCATTAATTTTCTTTGTCATCCTTTCCAGTTTATTAAAGACTATAAGTTTCCTACTAAGGACTGTTTTACTTATATGCCACAATTTTGAGACATGTGGTACTTTCGTTATCATTTAGTTCTAAATATTTCTAATTTCTAGTATCATTTCTTCTTCAGCCCATGAGTTATTTACAAATGTTTCTTAACTTGGAAACACATGAGGTTTTCCTAGTTATATTTTTATTCATTTCTTTCCCTTTTTTGTTGGGGGGAGGAAGACCGGCCCTGAGCTAACATCCACTGCCCATCTTCCTGTACTTTATATGTGGGACGCCTGCCACAGCATGGCTTGATAAGCGGTGCATAGGTTCATGCCCGGGATCTGAACCGGCAAACCCTGGGCCGCAAAGCAGAGCACGAACTTAACCACTATGCCACTGGGCCTTCCCATTTATATTCTTTTTTTTTTTTTTTTTTTTTAAAGACTGGCACCTGAGCTAACAACTGTTGCCAATCTTTTTTTTTTTTTTTCTGCTTTTTTCTCCCCAAATCCCCCCAGCACATAGTTGTATATTTTTAGTTGTAGGTCCTTCTAGTTGTGGCACATGGGACGCCGCCTCAACGTGGCCTGACGAGTGGTGCCATGTCCGCGCCCAGGATCCAAACCAGGGAAACCCTGGGCCAGGAGAAGTGGAGCCCGAGAACTTAACCAGTCAGCCACGGGGGCGGCCCCTATATTCATTTCTAATGATGACATTGTACTGGGAAATTGTACAAAAATCTTTTGAAATATGTGGCCTTGTTAAGTGAAGATTTTGTAAATCTTCCTTGTGTGTTTGAAAAAAGCAAGCATGAGGCACCTGGTACATACAGTCAAGTGTGATATTCATAAATGTTAAACTTTTAATAGTGATATAAACTAACATGAATAAAATTTTAAAAACTTTCTAAATAAACTGATATGTAGATTATAAAAATGCTTGCCAAGTGATATTAGCTGTAACTCAAATTGTTCATCAAATTATTCTAGGAATTTCCAATCATTTACTAACTTTTGGAAATTGTAGCCATAATCTTTTGTTTGACCCAGATGTTCTTGGCTGAACCATGAATTGACACAGGAAATTGTATAAAGCCCCTCCAAGAATTTCCACATTAAATAGGTAGTCATTAAGTAACTTGTAGTCTTGATAGTAAAAAAAATCACTGAACATCAACAGAATTGTTCATGGGGCTGAATCCTTTGTAGCTTTTGCTGAAGTAACGCTAAGTATATTAAAAATTTTTTAGCCCTTATGATGCTTGCTGTTAATTTTGCATATTCAATATGTATTGTTATATTAATAACTGTCACAAAATAATTTATTGATATATCATATTTAATTATATCAAACTTAATCCCTCAGCCTAGATGAGAAGTAATGTAATGTGGCTGTTAAGAGCATAAGCCAGGGTACAAATTCTTTGTGTTTAATGACCTTTCTGCTTCTCAGTTTCCTCAACTAACTGTGTCTGGTACAGAAAAGATTTCTGTTGGTGGTCATTTTCATTAATAAAATGAGTGTTAATGCCCATGGTGGGCAGATGTTCAGTGGGTTTTGGCAAAGTTATCCCACTAAGAGTGAAATTCAATAGGAATGATAAAATTAGGAATCTGCATCCCAGGAGTCATTCATCCATAAACCATCCCCATAGGCCTCATTCATCTGCAGTGGATTCTACCCTGCCATGGGAGTGCATGTTAAGCCCAGAATTAATATGTGTGAATGGCGCCTGTAGTAGTGTTATTACTCTCTGTTTTATTACTATCACTCTCTGTGCTATTACTCGACTGTTTTCTTAATTTCTCTGATCTCCCCGGAGGGTGCAGTTCCCACAAATGACCACGTGAAAATGATTGGGAGAGTGCCTGAGAAAGGCAGGCAGCCCCACATGAAGGGAAGCCAAATGATCACTGGGCGTTTGCCCATGGATTTGTGTGTGTGTAGGAGGGTACCTGGCATGGGTGAGAAGCAATTAGAATGGATGCTATAGCTCTCCAGTGAGGTTTGTTAGCAGACTGCTCTGCCAGTTCTTAACTCCTTAGTTGCTATAGAATGGGTTATTCTGAGAGATCCCATGGAAGGTGCTGAAGCATTAGAAGGGCACTCAGTGGGTTTGGGGCAGTAATTAACTATTGAACCATTATGCACATATATCAATATTTTAACAGCTGGTACAGCTAAACCAACGTGCACTAGCTGAATATCTGGCCTGAATGCAACATTCTATACATGCCCTTTAGAGCAAGATTTTAAGTGTTGTTGTTTATCTTTTGTGTATCCTTCTCATGTTTGTATCTGACTGATTAACTGAAGTACACTATGATGTGTATTAAAATCTTCCCCATGATGATAAATTTGTCTGTTTTCTCCTTAAAGTTATCAATTTTTGATGTATATATTTTAAATCAAAAAGACTCATTCAAGTTTAGAACTGTTTTACCTTCCAGGCGAACTGAGCTTTTATCATTATGAAGTGACTTTCTATCTCTACTAATTTTTTTGCTTTAACATACTTTGTATGATACTAATATAGCTCACAAGCTTTTTTTAAGAATGTGTTTGATATAGCTTTCTCTATCCTTTTGAACATTTAGTACTTCTATATTCATTATAATTAGTAATATTTGGATTTATTTTCAGGCATTCTTTTTGCTGTTTATTTATTATACCTTTTCTATTTTGTTTTCACTCTCTTGCTTATCTTCTTTTGGAATTTTTTTACCATTCCATATTTTTTCCTCTATCAGCCTGGAAATAATATAGTCTTTCTTGTCTTTTGTTAGTTACCTTGCAAATTTTAATAGGCATACTAAACTTATTAAAGCCTAACGTTAATATATCACAATTCTCCCTCAAAAAAACACAAGGAATTTAGACATCCCTTCACGATTTATATGCTATTGTTGTCTTCTTAGTTCCATCTTTGTAAATCCCAAAAGACAACATCAGATTTAATTTTACACATGTATTTTCCACTTTCTTTGTTATTCATCCCTTCTGGTATCTCAGACCTTCCATTTAGAAACTTTCTTTTCTCTGATATTAGAATTCCATTATTGAAGGTCTGGTGGCAAACTCACTTAGCTTTCCTTGTGTGAATATGTATTTATTTCATCTTTGTTCTTGACAAGAATGAAGAACCCATCTTTGTTGGGTATAGACATCTCAAGTGGCAGTTTTTTTCCAGCATACTGAAAATAATCACTGTCCTCTGATTTACACTATTACATATTGATAACTAAATGGCCATCACTCTCATAGTTACACCTTTGAAGGTCTTTTTTCTCTAGTTTTTAAGATTTTATATTCAGGGGCTGGCCCCATGGCGGAGTGGTTAAGTTCACATGTTCCGCTTTGGCGGCCCAGGGTTTCACCAGTTCTGATCCTGGGCACAGACATGGTACTGCTCACTGGGCCATGTTGAGGTGATGTCCCACATACCACAGCTAGGGGGACCCACAAGTAAAATATACAACTATGTACTTGGGGGATTTGGGGGGGAAAAGCAGAAAAAAAAAAAGAAGATTGACAACAGTTGTTAGCTCAGGTGCCAATTTAAAAAAAAAAAGATTTTATATTTATTGTCCTGCAGTTTCCCTATGTTAGGGTGTGTGGGCTTCTTAAATCATGGCTTGGTGGCTTTCTTCAGTTCTGGAAAGTTGTCAGCTATTATCTCTTCAAATTATTTTTTTGCCCCATTATCTATCTCATTTTCTTCAGGAAATAACCAAATATATGGTATGCTTTTTCTATGTTCCATGTCACTATACCTCCTTCATATTTTCAATCTCTGTGCCTCTCTCGTCTGCATTCTGGATAATTTCTTCATTTCTATTTTCCAATACACCAATTCTCTCTACAGTAGTACCTAATGTGTTCTCATAAAGGAAAGCTTGAGAAAGTCTCACATATTATTACTTAATCTACTAACATTATCAAATTTCCTTTTTCAAAATGTCATCTTAGGAGGTGAAACACATATTTTGACAATGTTGCTATCGCTTAAAACAGTTTTGGAATTCTTTAGAAATTACCTTCTAGCCCATGTATCCTTTCATCTCTTTTTTAGTGCCAAATCCTCCCTAATCTGGCCTCTATTAAATTCATAATTTTAATTCTTACCTTCTGTGTCACCTCTTCTTCCCTGTACTGAGAAGTCTTTGTAAGCAACAGTGGTTATTGGTACCCAGTAAGCTGATTTAGCTCATATATGAAGGATATGAGAAATTATCTCATTTAACACAGATATGTCATTTTTCTATAAAGTTACTTTAAGTCCTATAAAAATTTGGGGCATATTAGTAGATCTAGTAAGAATACTAAAAATGAACACAGAACTTTTTTCACATATCTTAACAGATGAAAAAGAACGGCAATGTGCAATGTTGGCAAGGATATGGGGAGTCAGTAACTTTCACTACGTCTGATAGGAAGGAGAATTGGTACAATCTTCACAGAGTAATTTAATAATAGGTATCCAAAATCTTCATAATCTTTGACTCATTCTAGGGATTTATCATAAGGACATAAACCTAAAATATTTGTTTATAGAGGTTTTATTTAAACTAATGAAAAATTTTAAATAATGTTTCAGAAATATATTTATTAACACAGGTAATCCACAATATACTGCATTTAAAAAGCAGGCTACAAAACAGTATGATTCCATGTTTATATTAAAATAAACATACACAAAGAAAAAATTTCCTTGGATATCCACTCAATATCTGGGACCATAAGTGACGTTTAGCTTCTTTTTGCTCATTTATTGCCTAGGTTTTCTACAATGAGTATGTATTAATTGCATAATTAAACGTTATTAAGTTATTTTAAGTACCAGAGTACTTAACCACCTTCTACAAAAATGTTCCTATGGGAAAATGTAGTCCAGATTCAAGCAAGGACTATCAGTAATATGTTCCTCATTCTAACAGCACTGGCACTGGGGGTTCCTTCTTCATAACTCCTTCTTCCCCTCTCGCCCTCTACCTAAAATCCCACCGGCCAAGAGTGGAAACAGCTACTAGAGCTGCAGGCCTGACCGGATAGGCAGATGTTGGGAGGAGAGGAGCTGGGATATGGAGAACAGAAGAACCCACTGTTTATAAGGAACAGACTTGGTGTTTTGGGAGAAGCTTTAGGAATGGGGCTTGGTTGGAGGAAGGAGTGGGGAGAGGAGGCTTCATGAATAAACCTCAGTAAAACGGTTTCTCCTCTCAACAGTTTTCCTTGTATTCGGGTGCACAATCACTGCTACAAGTCCTACCCAAGTCCTACAAGAAGCTGCAGAGGCGGCAGCAGCGTGTGCGCTCCGGCGGCGGCACGTGCTCTGTGAAATAGAGCAGGGTGGGCCCGCTCCCAGCGATTCCACAGTTGCTTTGCTCCTTCCTTAGCGTATCTCAGTCTTTCTTTAGCAAAGCTTTTTGCTTTGTGACCCTGTAGCCTTTCAGCTTCTCTGACACGACCTGCTGCCCCTCCAACCACAGGCCCTGTGACACAGTTCCTCCGGCCGAAGAACTTCCATCCCCTCCCCAACTCCATCTTGACCAACTCTTCTGCGGCCTCTTCTCTTGGTGAAGTGTCACTTCCTCAGGGAAACCTCCGCCACTCTCGTCCACAACTGGCTCCTTCAAGCCTTTATGGCAGTTTGTAAGCAGACGTTATGAATTATTCAGCGTGGTTATTAACACCTAGCTGACCTAAGAGGCGCCAAGCTCGAGGCAAGCGGCGCCATTCGCTGGCTTTGCTCACCACTGCGACCTCGGCATGTGGCGCGGGCAGGTGCGCGACAGACCCCTGCCGACCGAGGGGGCGAGTGCGCGGCCACCGCAGCAGCGACGGGCTCGGGGCCTCGGCGGAAGGGCTGCGCGGACTACGCTGCCTCCGGAGGGAACCGAGCGGAATGTTCTCCTTTGACGCGTACTCACAGAACAAAGCTTTAAAAATATGTATTATTTTGAAAATTCCCCATACCCCAAAGTAAACTGAGACCAAACACGGGCCACTTCCCCAGCCAGACGAAGGCCGCCGCCCTCCCGAGAAACACGTCGCCCACCTGGGAGCCGCACCCCCTCCCCGTCGTGAGCGCGTCCCGGCGGCGCCTCGGTGGCTCCAGGGCAGAGGGACGCACGGCGTGCCCCGGGCCGCGACACCAGCTCAGACGAGGAAACGAGGCCTCGGGCGCCGCGCGGGCTGCGGGCGGCTGTCCTCGCGGAGCCTCGCGTCGCGGCGGCGACACGGCCCGGGCCTGCCTGCCCCGCGCGGGGCCCCGACCCCCGGGGCGCGCCGCGGGCAGCGCTTACCCGTCGGGCGAGTACTCGAGGTTGAAGACGGCGCCGTGGGTGCGCGTGCTGAGGTACACCGAGTCGGCGGGCTGGATGGAGCCGTAGAGGTGCGTCATGGTACGGAAGTTGTCCCGCGCCGGGTCCACGAACAGCCCGCGGCCCAGGCTGCGCTCCCTCAGCCAGCCGAAGAGCCGCGCGCCCGGGCCGCCGCTGAGGCCCTGGCGGCCCCGGCTCCCGGCCCTGCAGTCGGGCGCGGGCCGCCGGCGCGGCGGGGAGGGCGACGCCGCTTTTCCCCGGGCGACGGCCGGAGACTGCAGCGCTCCGGGCGGCCGCAGCTCCCTCGCGCGCGCGCCCGGGGCCGGCGAGCGGGCGCCGGGGCGGCCAGGGCTCCGGGAGGGCGACGGGGGACAGGCCGCGTCAACCCCGGGTTGGGGCGGCGCGGGCGGGGAAGGGAGCGGCCCGGCGGCGGCCGCCTGCCCCCAGGGAGGCGCCTGCTCCTCCGCCCCTTCCCCTCCGGGGCTGCCGGACCCGAAGGGAAACATGACTAACACCCCCGCCCCCACTCCGGGCCGCTGCCCCGCCGGCCGACACCTCGGCCCTCCCGCTCCAGCCGCCACTTCCGGCGTGCGGCGCCCTAACCCCGCCGGCTGGGAAACGCGCACCGCCCCTCAGCCACCATCCGCCGGGGACTGCGAATGCGGAGACACCGCCCGCCCGCGGGTGCCGCAGCCCGGTGGGATGGAGGTCCGGAGCTCCTGGCTGTCTGAAGATGCCCAGGGCCCGGGCTGTATGGAGCAGTGTTAGCATCAGGGGCCGCCTGCGACAGTCTGTAGTTGTCAGTGACCGTGACTGTGAGCCTGGGGATGAGTGGCCCAGACTAGTCAGTCTAAGAGGCAGGGTATGATTATGTTATCCCCACTTACACTGAGATTTGCGAGGGGTAGAAATTACCATGTTATGTGCAGGTCACACATATCAGGTGGCATGGTCTACTGCCTACTCAGCCTGGGAGCTAAGGACTCAGGTTAACTTCTGTACTAAAAAGCCCTGGTCTGTACGGGGCCTGGAAAATCGGGCCTATTGGTATCTGCCTAACTCGCAGCTGCTGCCCAGTAGGTCAAGACTTTATCAAGGCCAAAGCCTTCCTCTCTGCAGGAAGGAGCATATATCCTGCCAGGAGTCACTGACGGAAGCTGGAGACCTGAATCAAATCAACCTTACAAGCAATAGAGTCCAGGGTCAATCCTGCTTACACCTGCCAGGCAGGGCATGGAGGGCATGCCCTTCACCACTGCTGCTGAAGGTAAACACATAGAACTACTTTGCAGAGCAGGGATTGGGGTGTTTCTTGCGGAGGGAAGGACAGTCATCAATAAATGAAAGCTTGAGGTACAAGGAGAGGGAGATATAAGAACTGACAACTTTCCTGGGCCTTGATCAAGAGCTGTGTTATAGAAAGTTCACACTTGATGACTGTGAGGATAAATCTAGAGGATCTCTGTAGGAAGATCTACCCTGTGAGGACAGAAGGATAGGGTCTTCAGGACAGAGGTCTGAAGGATCTCCGGAGGAAGGGAATGGGATTCAGAGAGCTGAACATTCAGCACGTCCTCCCACCAGGAAAGTTAGTAGTTTATTCAGCTCTCCTGTCCATGAGCTGATTGAAAAAAGGGCAAGAAGCAAGGGGGCGTGGGGGGAGGGCACAAAGGGGGAAGTGGTGTACCTACAACATGACTAACAAAAATGTACAACTGAAATCTCACAAGGTTGTAATCTATCATAACATTAATAAAAAAAAATAAGCCTTATTAAAAGAAAAAAAAAAAAGGGCAAGAAGCAAGGGTCCTGAGTTCACAGAAGATCAAGGCAGCCATTCCTCTGGAGATATTCCCCATGATGCCACCGTAGAGCAGAAGGGGTAGAGGTCTGTTTTATGATTAACAAATAATGTCCTTTAATGACCCACAACTTCTGGCTACAACAGATACTTAGTAGAGGCCCTCTGCTTGGTCCCAAGTTATGGCCAACGGCTCAAACTTTACCGTCTACACAACCTTACCATGATACATTCACCAATGGTATTAACTTTTTAAATAAGTAAAGTAAAACTCAATTTTAAAAGGTTACATATTCCAAGGTATTTAAGATACAATTTCAACAAAAAAACACAAGCTCTACAATGAGAGTCTGTGCTGGCTCAAAATAATCAGATTTCACAGTTCAGGCAATTCAAAATTAACACCTTATAGCCCTCAAACTGATTAAGAACTGTTCACTGACAATTTGGAGAATCTGAAGAAGCCAAATGGGAACAAAAACATTTTGTAGGTTTGCCTGTACCTCTCTTAGATAATGAGAATGATTCTTGAAAAGTTAAGATAGCCACAAACTTAAAACAGTAGTGGCTGTAACACACAGAGCAAGTCATTCAGCAATACCAGGGGGTTTTTTTCCTTATACTTCTCCTTAAAATATGAGTGCTCACTTGTTCCAAATAATTTTTACTAGAACCTAAAATAGGAATAAATTACATAAGGACTAAAATTCTATTGAGATGACCATGATTTTACAACCCATCAGTAAAAAAAAAAATCACTGGAGATTAATTAACTGAGAAGGCACTAAAGATAGAACAACTTTAACTGTGCCTGCTCCTATTTACCACTGCCTTCTAGAGCCTTTAAATACAACCGTGTTAACAGGAATTGATTTCAAATCACAGTCTATACAGACCAATTTCTAAGTAACACTAGTTTAGAAAGCTAAAAAATTTTCAGTTGCTGAAATTCACAGATGTCAGTTCATCACAAATGCCTAAAGCATCCTCTGAACTGCTTTGCCCCTGACGCTCCTTTTAGATCACAACAGAAGTCTGACACTGGCAAAGGTTTCCCCTGGGTCCAGGTATCCCATGTCCCTGGAGACCCCCAGCACTTAGGATCTAGCTCATCAAGGAGGCAGGGAACAAATTTATTTACTTTCTTCTTAATCACTGACTAGATGTTTTTAAAAAATTACTTCCCGGGGCTGGCCCTGTGGCCGAGTGGTTAAGTTCGCGCACTCTGCTTCAGCGGCCCAGGGTTTCACCGGTTCAGATCCTGGGCGTGGACATGGCACCACTCATCAAGCCAAGCTGAGGTGGCGTCCCACATGCCACAACTAGAAGGACCCACAACTAAAATGTACAGCTATGTACTGGGGGGCTTTGGGGAGAAAAAGAAAAAAAAATCTGAAAAAAAAATTACTTCCCAACTGATGTCTTATAATGCAGCGTGCGTGAAATGTAAACACTGGCTTTTCCGTTCAGGCTTTCATACTTAGGGAGCAGCAAGTTCACTCCTCATGTCTTTGACATCATTGGTTCTGCCCATTCAATAGAATTCTTTGTTGGGAACAAGACTCACAAAATGAGCAAGGCAGTTGGACATGGCATAAAAAGCCGAAACGGCAGCTGTGTCCCAGGCGTCTTCTTGGTTGAAGCCATGCACCTTGGGTTTTTTGAAATGGCTGTCTGTTATGTCATCAGCGCAGGAAATAGCAAGTGCAAACACCAGCACTGCCTTGTCTCGAGCAGGGAGGTCAGAATTCCTCCAGCTCACACAGACCTGCAAGAAAACACACAGTCAGAAGCAGAATCTCTGTTCATCACCATACAGCCAGCCAATAAAGCACAGGGCCTAACGAGATGGGCATTAATGAGAAAAGCTAAGGTTAGAAGAAAGGGGCAAAGTCAGGCCAAAATAAACTTTCCAGATGGATAAGTATCTTGGTCAAGTCCAGTGGAATGCAAATCTGGAGCTCTGGCTTGGCACCACCTCTGCCCAGAGGTCTTCTCTGCTTACTTCAGCTCCAAGCACCTCTTTCTCCTCTAAACACCTATGGCATCAAAAATCTCAGAACCAAGACTCAGAGACTCTCAGTACATAAGGACCCAAAATCCCAACCTTTTCATGTGAGAAAAGTGGAGCTCAGATAATTATCCCTTTGTCCCCAATTAATCCCAAACAAGACACAATATTTGCAAAATTAATATCTGACACTTAGCAATTACTATGTGCTAAGAATGTACTCAATGTGTCATATTCATTATCTGACTTAATTCTTATAAATATCCTAGGAAGTAGTATTTTTATTATCACTCCCATTTTATTAGCAAAGAAACAGAAGCTCGGAGAGGTGAAATGACTTCCCCAAGGTCACACAACTAGAGACTGGCCAAGCTGGGATCTGAATCCAACTGTACTGGATTCCAAAGACTATGCTAATAATCATTACCCTGCTGAAGCAAAATCCTGGAAACCACTAAACACCTAAAAACAGAAGAATGGTTCATGAAGCCGTGGTACGTCAGCATACCCTGTGGTCACTAGGGAGGCAGGGCCTGAGAGACTGATCCTGGGTAGCAAAGGCCTTGCCGCTAAGCAAGAGGCTCTCAGCAGGGCAAAGGGGATGATGTCCGTGTCCTGGAGCTTTCTTCCAGCTGGCAACAGAGGCCTTCAGGGAACAGTTTGCAAGATCTCCACTCAGGTGGGGTCAGGAGGGAAGGTTGGGAGGTGGGAAGACTAATGACCCTCAATTTCAGGAATAAATCCAGAGAACAGATGATTCTGTTCCCCAGCCCAGAGGATCAGGAATTTCACGGTAGGGACCAGTGGGACTTTGTAAGCTTGGTGACAAACCCCTGTGCGCTGTGTCTTTACTCTTAGTCTATTTCTCTGGGAAGAATTAGCATGACCTCTGATGCCCAAAGGGCCTGACATTGGATGAAGCAAGGAAAGGGTAAGCTGTTGGCTGGGGGATTGAGACCCATTTTACAACCAGTCTTGGTGGGAAAGTGTAAATGGAGGCAGTTCCAGAATGGGAGGTGATAGGTCAGGCTTGGGGCCAGCAGCAGGAAATAAAAGAAAAACTAAGAAACTGGTTTGGGCCCATTAGGAATAATTAGTGGATAGACTAAATTCACACTAGAAAATGCAAACAGTATAACGTAGCAGAAAGAGTGCAAGCTTTGAAAATGGGCTCCACCACATTCTAGTTGTGTGCCCCATGTTAAGTTACAGCTCTGAACCACAAGGGTAAAATGGCTGTAATAAGGCTCAACTGACAGGGGGAGTTGTGTGCATTCAAGAGAGTGCATGCCAAGTATGCAGTACCAGGTCTGGCACAAAGCTGGGGCTCAGCTAACATCCCAAATGTCATGCACACACAGAAGCAGGTGGGTGCAGCGATTGGGACTAGACGGGAGTTCTAGCAATGGGAAGAGCTGGAGGTGTGTGTGTTTCCTGCACCATACCGTGGCATGGGCTTTCCCCTTTCCTCAGATATGAAGAGGCCCTGGAATGGGTGTGTGTGGGGGCACTAACTTGGGCAGTGAGCACTGGCTTCCTCGGATAGACCCTGTACTGGGCACTGTGGACAACCACGCTATATGGGTACCTGTCGGCCAGGCTGGTCACCACAATGATGAGTTCCTTGTCAGCTCTGCTGAGCTGGCCTGGGGAGGAAGAGGAGACCTGTCCACAGCCCTGGACAGCAGCTCAGAAAAACCTATACAGGCTCAGCCATATTTTAGCCACAGAGTTGCCCACCCCCTACTCCTCTACCCATTCTCTTAT